TTTTTTTGAATTATCAAAGTGTTAGTCAATACATGGTAAATTTTTCTGTCTTTCCCACATCATAAACCAGAAGGCTTCAAAAATTATATATAGTCATGTTTAAAACTAAAAGAGAACTGTCAACAGAAACAGGCTAGGGAGGCCTCTATGAGGCATGAAACAGGAAAAACTCAAGATGGTGCCAAGCAAAATCATAACACAAAAGGATGGCAGGAAACCTCCCCAAGGAGATGAGAACTCTGAAACACATCAAGAAGATTGTATTGTGAAAATGAGAAGTAACAAGCCTACTAAACTGCTGGGGTTGTACTTAAGAGGATTGAATATTTCTAAAACAAATGCGAATATATTTGATATCCTCAAAGGACTGAAGAAATGTACAATTTTGAAAAATAGCCAATTAAGTACCATGGATATAGAAACAGTTCTTCAAATAAACTGTTTAGGTGAAAATAACAGAAAAGACTCATGGGAAAAGCCACTTAGTACTCTAGAAAATCATAGCTAGTAATTTATAGGAAAAAAAATAAAGGAATAAGGTGATAATGCCCAAGAATTTCTCAAAACGGGAAAACACATAAGCCACTGTCCACCCACCGAGTGCCAAGTAGAATACACCGTTTCTGTTTTTCTTTTTGAGACAGGCTGGCCTTGAACTGGCTATTACACCAAGGATGGCTTTGAACTTCTGATCCTTTTGCCTCTACCTCCTGAGTACAGGGATAACCTACATGTGCCACCACACCGGACTTACAAAGTGCTCAGGATCCAAACCCGGGCTTTGTACAAGCTAGGCAGGTATTCTACTGACTGAGCCATAGTCTTGACCTCACAACAGGCTTCGCACACCCCACCAACCCGATATGCTTCAGAATATCAAACAATGAAACAGTCTCAGAAACTTGGAGAAAAATCTGTTCATCAAAAAGGAATATGTATCAGACTGGTAATGAGACTCACCAGAAACGCAAAATGTTAAAAGGTAACTATAAACCAGGGACTGTACCTCTCACCAAGCAACCTTTCCATTGTAAATTAAGTCTACAGATACCCAAGAGGCACTAAGAGACATCGCCCAGCTGCCTTCCAGGATGCTTCTAGTAACTTCCACCTCAGCACACTCACTCACGTCCTGTTATCTCAGCAAAGGGCAGATGGAGACAGGAGGATGAGTTGTTCCAGGTCATCCTCCACTAGACTGAGGTTCCAGGTAGCAAACAACAACTAACCAAAGAAGCTCTCACCAGGGTAGCTTGAAAGCTACTAATTTACATAAGAAAAAATAATTAACTGAGAAACTTTGCAAAACAGAAATGTTAAGAAAAAAATTTAAACCACAAGCTTACCTTCCTGAGGCAGGACTAATATTTCATTGTCAGGGGAATTTTTTTGTTGTTCGTTTTGTTGTTTGAGACCAGGCTGGCTTGGAACTCAGAGATCTGCCTGCCTCTGCCTTCCCGACGTATAGAATTAAAGGCCTGAGCCACCACCACAACCCCGCTTGCAGTAGAATTTTAAATTTGGTTCTTTTCCAATCTCACGCTTTTATCTTGTAGAAAATACACCCCCTTTTTCCCAATCTCACGCTTTTATCTTGTAGAAAATACACCCCCTTTTTCCCAATCTCACGCTTTTATCTTGTAGAAAATACACCCCCTTTTATTTAGATCTACGCTTCCTTTCTACTTGAAAACAAAAAACAAAAAACAACAACAAAAAAAAACCCCACTAAACTAAAAAAGGTACCACTCCACTATCTCCTTGGGTCCTTGATAGGCATGACATTTACGGTGTGTAAGTCACACATAAATGGGCACGTTTTTAATTACTCCATGTGTGCCAATTTAACCCACACGACAATAACAATAGGAAAACAGCTTCTGATGCAGAAAGCATGCCACACTGCATGTGGCAGTCTAGTTCATGCTCTGATGATCCCAATCTAAGGTTAAACGTAAATTGACCTCCCCACCTTGGTCTTCTTCGTCCACAGACAGAGAACCAACCACCCTAAGGTTGCACACGTCAAAGAGCTGTCAACCACACACCTGTCAGTACTGACTTCACTGACCGTGGGGTGCGGGTGGGGTGTCAGTCAGTCGCTCCTCGGATACAAATCAACTACAGCTCCTAGGTGATATTTTTCACTTATTCGGGGCGTGTGGAATCTTACCTTGTGGAGTGGACCAGTGTTCAAACCTCCCAGAGTCCTGCTTCGCCGTTTTACTCTGTACTTCGCTGCCCACAGCCCGTCACAGCCAAGTTGCTCAGGAACCACCAGCCACGAAGGCGAACGCCCCAAGACAGACGAGGGAGAAAACGCAACTGAGAGCCCGGGCCGCCTCAGCTACCGGAACTGCGAGCCGCCGCCGGCACGCGCGGGGAGAGCCGGGCCGATCCGCAGCGCACCCTCCCTGCGCGCCTCACACCTGAGCCGCCTGTCAAGAGACGCCCTCACCTCAGCCCGCGGGAGACTCGCGCCGGCAGCGGGCTTCGCCGGTACGCGGCGCCCGCCTGCCCCGGCCCGCCCAGACGCCCATTGGCTACAGCCGCTGCCGCTCAGCGCCTAGGACGCTCCGCGCGCGTTCCGCGGCCCCCGCGCGCTGTTCGGAGGGCGCCGCTTCCTGATTGGTCAGACCGCCGCTCTCGGCCGGTCTCGCGCTGTCTGCGCCGGCCAATAGGGCTTCTCCGCAGTCTAGGGAGCCGCATCGCTGGAGTGGTGGCGCAGCCTTTTTTCTCGGTAGGTGCGTGGCTGCCATCTTGTGTGTGGCCTCAACGGGCCTTCTCCTGCTAGTGCAAGTGTGTGTGTGTAGCGACTAGGTCTAGGAGGCTCCTGACAGTGACGGGAGTGATGGGAGTGACGGGGAGACTTCCCCAGGAGGGGTTCTTCTCGGCCGGAGTCTCCTCCCTGGGTTTGGGAGGCAGGCGTGGTGGTGGTGGTGGTGGTGGTGAGCCCAGGCTTTGATCTTTAGAGGTTTCCATGTCTTAGCCTTGATCCCTTGGTTTCCGAGAGGTCTCTGAGCAGTGTTTGTGGCGCGAAGGTTCCCACCATCGATCCCTCATATGGTTAAAGGAGGCTGGGTGCACCATTCAGAGCGGAAAAGCCGGTCATGGAAGGGTGCGGGAGATGTCTCAACTGACCTCCGGATCGATAGAGAAAACACCCTCCCCTCCGCTCCCCCCCCCCCCCCAATGGCCAAGGACCGACTGCTGAACTATTGCCCTTCTCGAGCTCTTGAGAATAGCCCTTTAGACTATAGTCACATCCATTGGTGTAAGTGTACACCATGTTGTATGAGAGGAGGTTTTTTTTTTTTTATAAGTGTGAGGCCAGCATTCCTGCAGTGGCTTTAAAATAAAAATGTTGATCTGTAGAAACGGGAAGTGAGGGGAGAATTTCACTGACTTTTTGTTATTGTGAGACAGAATCTTACATACTCCAGATTCGATTCAAACTAGGTATGTGGCTCAGGCTGTCACTGAACTGATCCTTCTGCCTCCACTGTCCAAGTTCTGGGTTTACAGGAGCGCCTCACCACAGAACCCATCCTTGTTTCAAGTGTGTTGAAAATTTATTGTAAATTTCTCTTTACATATTTTTTTATAAACTTCATCATTAAAAAAAAAAACTTGAAAATGAGTAAAAATACCACACACCAAAATTAACCAAACCTCAAGTCAGTACAACTCAATAAACTTCAATACTATTAAAATTTGCATTCAGAAAGGAAGTTGTGTATTTTCACACTGAATTTACACATATTGAATATGTCATATGCACCTATGGAATGAATGATAAGCGGCGCTGGTTACCTCGAGAACAGGTCAGGAGGCACGGCCATGACTACCTAGTAGCAGAGTTTTATTAGGAGGAACGAGGGGGAGACAAAAGAACCAGGCCTGAGAAAGGAGCATGTGCAGAGAGAGGGAAAGATGGTGGGGGAAAGAGGGAACAGAATAGAGAGAGGGTAGGCTCTTTAAGGCGCAGGTGGGCCTACAAAGCTACACCACGCATGCGCTGATTGAGTGACCAGGTGGCGAGTACATGATCACCAGCGCACACTGATCATGTAAGATGCAAAAACTCTTGTCTGGCTCCTGAACACATGTGCAGTCATGCAGCTGGAGCTAGGCAGAATCCTAACATTCCAGACTTTTGGCTTATTACAAAAAAAAAAGCGAGTGAACAGGAATAGGGGCGTCATTTCTCTGGGAAAAATGCTTCCAGCTGACTTGGTGGGCATCGGGTGGCTCTTGGGGGGCTAGGGAAGGGGGCTTCCGAGGTAGACAAGCGTTTTCGAATGGTGGGCTGTCGTCTGCTGCCTTGGAGCTGTTCATCTTTCTTGGCTTGGCACTCTGGCTGTTTTTGTGTCTGACAGGATGCTGGTAGGACAGAGAAAAGCTTAGAAGAAAGAATTATTTTTTTTTCCCTGGGTGGGGGGTTGTTCCCAGACCAGGAAGGTTTGGGTTTGGTGCTTATCTGAAGTAGATCCGACCTGTCAGATGGGCTTAAGCTGGTTTCTGGAGCTTAAGAAAAAATTTAAACATATTAAGAAGCAGCCATGAAAAAAAGTCTTGGGCTGGTGACCATTGGAGTGATTGGTACTCCGCTTGTATTGGTTAGTATTAATAAGAGAGACAGAGAGAGATTGGAACATGTGTTTAATTTTTTAACCTGAGATAAGCTTTATCAGAGACAGATTATTTTAAGGCACCTGTTTCCTTTACTAGTTTAGCATCCAGGAGACACAGGTGATCAATTGCTTAGAGCATTTAACAGTAATAGATGGCTATATTAAGTCTGTTTTTGCAGAGCCCAGACACTTTTGGGTCTGGGGGTGTAAATACCTTTTAACTGTTACAGTTTCTTACCACCTGGATATATCTGATGGTCCTTGGATTCCAGCTCTATGGTGATCCTGTAACAATTAGCTGAGTAGTTAATTAAAAGAGGGAAGCAGGAAGAGAAAAGCTTGTGGGGGTGAGACCTCATTCTTTTGGAATTAAGTACAAGGCAGAGAGCAGGCACCTGTCTGTGTCCCTGTGCATGAGGAGGAGAAGCACTTCTGACAAGTCTGGAGTGAGGCACATGGAGGGAGCAATGAAATGAAAGCGCCTACCTTAGCTGGAAAGTCTTTTCCCATTAAGTAACCCTGAAAGTACAATTAAGTCTGGTGAGGTGGGTAAGGTTGTCCTCCCTACCCCGACAATAGGGAAACAAGGAGAGGTGGAACCCCAAACTCCCCAGGACTGAGTGAGTGGCTCCAGTGTCCAGAAGGAAAGAAACAGATCACTCCCATGCTGCATTCTGGGTTCCCTGTCAGCCGTGGCCGAGCCTAGGAGGTCTGCTGGAGGTCTTAGTTTGTCCCCATGCCACTCGGTGCCCAGGGGCAGTCAGCTAGGTGGCACTTTGAACAAGGCTCAATTGATGGCCTGGCAGGGCATGCACTAGCCTGCCTGGCCTACCCCTGCCCCCCCCCCCCCCCCTTAAAACAGGGACCCAGCAGCTTTCAGGAGCCAGTCGGACAGCGTGTGCCAGCATTTGGCAGTTCTGTTCACGGCTTTCTCATCTCTTCCCTGGTCCACCTTAAACACCACAGCTGAAACTTCTGCCTGTGGGGTCAGGAGCCTTGCTCTCCAGATGTTTAAGTTTTAGCCCTAAGGTCAGGGAGCTCTGGGAGACAAGAGATGAATTTTATTCTGTGTCTTGAATTTTTTTTTTTTTTTTTTTTTTTTTTGATAGTTTGCTGGCTTGAGGACAGCTTTAGGAAGACTCGCCAGGAGGCAGGCTGTAAACTGATCTCTGGCTAAAGAGCCATCCTTACTGTGATTATTGTGATTATTAGTATAATTATTATTATAAGTTTACCACATGGGGGTCCTGGTGGTAAACTTATTTGCATGCATCTTAGCCTGCTTTCAGACCCCTCTGTGCTTCTCAGGGCAGCTTGAGAACGAGTGGGAGGAGTTAAGGTGAAGCCAGAGTTGGGCAGAAGTGGCCCGCCCAATACTGGAGAGCCGAGCACAGAGCAGAGAACAGACAAGATAAGGTTCTTTGGAGTCAGAAATTCCTTAGGTTTAGGAATGCACGTACTCAGGAGAGAGAATCAGAAAGGGAAGGTTTAGAGCTTAGGTAAAAGCGTGGGGATAAGGTAACTCTTTTCATTTGCCCATTTTCTGGCAGATGTTAGACAATTCCCATGAAATATCGGGGTTGAAGCAGCCGTTATGCAGCCAAATTTACTAGTATCTGGGATATTTAAGGCATTTGTCAGAGGAGGAATGTAACCACGAGAAGGAAGCCCCCGTGTCCCATGGCTGCAACCGAGAGAGAGAAAAAAATAAAAAATTAAAATAACAAACGGGATCCCCAGGCTCCTATTTCAAGTGTCCTTGAGAATAGGCAGTCTGTGGACGGGCATTAACAGCACAAATTACCCAATCATCGTCATGAAAAGGGCAAGGGCTGGGGCATACGTACTGGAGGGCCCCCCCAGGAGCCTCGACAGCATCCAATACTTCATTAAGATAGAATGTGTCCTGGTATGCAGTGAGGAACCCCCAGGGGTCCAGTGCGAGGAGTATAGCTCAGGCTACAGTCACAGGAAATGGCAGGGGTCTCACCAATCTTGGCAGCATGTGTGGTGTACAGAGTGGTCTGGCAGCTTTGCAAATGAAAAAAGCAGAGTGGGCAGTTGCAGGTCTAATGAACCACGGTATAGGTTTCCAGATGCTGAGCCCCAGATGCAGAGCGCCAGAAAAGCCTATCCAAGTCATGGCACCAATGAAATAAATGATAAGTAGTGCTGGTGGGGGTGCTGGTTACCACAAGAACAGGTCATGAGGCATGGCCATGACTACCTAGTAGCAGAGCTTTATTAGGAGGAAGGAAGGGGGAGACAAAAGAACCAGGTCTGAGAAAGGAGCATGTGCAGAGAGAGGAAAAGATGGTGGGGGGAAGAAGGAACAGAATAGAGAGAGGGTAGGGTCTGAGTCACGGCTCTTTAAGGCGCAGGTGGGCCTACAGAGCTACACCACTCATGCACTGATTGTGTGACCAGGCCGCGAGTACATGATCACCAGTGTACACTGATGACATAAGACGCAAGACCCCTTGTCTAGCTCCTGAACTGCGCATGTGCAGTCATGTGGCTGGAGTGTGGCAGAATCCCAACAACTTAGCCACAACCAAAATAAAAAAAATCCACAACAGATTTGTGAATTTCTGGATCTATCATTACTGTGCCTGGTGATGTCATCATTGAGCAGGACATTTTTTAAAGGAGAATTGGAGTTTGCCGTGGGGCTGGGAAGAACAAGACACTGCACTTTGCTCTTCCCGTTCTTCCGCTCTTGAAAAAAATTAAGACTCCCACCTCCCTCCCCTTGTGTAGAAAGCATTCGTTGTCTTTCATTTGAAAGAAGCTGCCAGATCTGAAAATCTAGCCAGTTAGAGACAAATATTTTGTGATTAACTGTAGCAGTTTTGATACACATGAG